TGTGTGTGTGTGTGTGTGTGTGTGTGGCCAGCTCAGCCCACCAGGGGGCGGGCTGGCTGGCATGTGGTGCTGGGGGACTGAACCGTGGTCCCTGGGCTTTGGGCTTCGCTAAGCTTGTTCTAAGTAGGTGCTTTAGACCACTGAGCCATCTCGCCAGCCCCTCATGTGCTTCTTTCAATCTTACATTTAGTAGTGATATGATCCACTTTTTGAAAAGGCAGTGTTGATGAGACTAAGCCCTGCTGTTAAAATGAAAACCCTTCCTTAGAAGTATTCAGTTCTCTGGAACAATGCTGCCTACTAGAACCTACTAGAACCTTCTGTTCTCATGGCAGTTGTCTCTGAAATGACTCTGACAGGAGCCACTGGCTATAGTGACTGCTGAGTACTTGAAATGTGGCCACTGTGTCTGAGTAACTTTAAGACAGTCTATGATTTAATTAATTTAAATAAGCATGTATAGCTAAGGCTGGTGGTTACATGTTGGACAGTCTAAATAGTAAAGCGAGAATAAGATTAATGCTTAGAAAATATTAGTTTGCATATTATCTTTTAAAGTGAAGATCCGCCTTGGTCTTGGTTTAATTTCTTCTTTTTACTTTAGTTGGGGCTGGGGAGATGGCTCAGTAGAATAAGCGCTTCCCTGGCAAGCTCAAGGGCCTGAGTTCAATCCCCGGTTCCACCAAAAATAAAAATAAAAAAATAGACTTAGTATCCATCCTAGCCCATCAAACTGCCCTGTGTCTGTTCTGTCCTTTTTCTTTTTTAATTTTAAACACACATTTTATTTTATTTTATTTTTATTTTATTTGTGGCCAGCTCAGCCCACCCTGGGGGTGGGGCTAGTGTTGCATGTGGTGCTGGGGATTGAACCATGGTCCCTGAGCTTTTGCCTAAGCTTGCCTAAGCAGGCGCTTTAGACCACTGAGCTATCTCACCAGCCCCTGTTTTGTCCTTTTAATTTAATCTTACCCATAATAAAGTAGGTGGAGTCTCCATTCCTAGACTTGGATGGCAGAAAAGACCTTTGAGGGTAATAGTTGCTTCCCAGCCTGATCTGGGCAGAGAATGAAGTGGGCAGTTTGTCTCCAGGTAAAGCTGAGCTTGGTGTGGGTTGACTTTGGTGGTACCTTCTGCCATGTGATGGGACTGGGGGGCCTGCCCCTTGGTTGATGCAATTAAGGAGTTAAAAGACTCAGTTGTGGGGGCCAGGGAGATGGCTCAGTAGAATAAGCGCTTCCCTGGCAAGCTCAAGGGCCTGAGTTCAATCCCCGGTTCCACCAAAAATAAAAATAAAAAGAGGTAGTTGTTGGACCTGGACCTCCTGTCTGTGGTTCATGGGATCAGTGAGTAGTTGGGAGGAGGAAGCAGTGTTACCAAGACAGATGAAAGAATTAGTCTCCCATTGCTAGAGATTTGCAAGCCAAACAACTACAGCTGAAAGTTTCAGGCAACCAAATAAAAAAGTTTCAAAGCATTGCTTTATCTTTTTTCTTGACTTTCCCCAATACTTGTCTTCTCTGTGTTTTCCACACCCTCCTTTTTTTCCTGACTGCAAGCCATCCTGACTGGCAGAAGGCTCATCTTCATAGGCAATAGACTAACGGGCACATAGGTGGACAGTGCCAGCCTCTGGCTGGAATGGTATGTGGGAGCCCCAGCTCTGGCTCATCCTTCGGCTTCCATGCCAGGAGGTGGGCTGGCAGGAGGCAGGAGCCCAGCGGGGCTTCCCACTTGGTGCAAGTCCACACTATGCCTCAGCTCAAGGGATGGTCTGGCTCCTGCCAGAAGACACTGTTACGTAAGAGACGGGAATGTTTTACTGTAGAAAGTGGGCAGCTGGGTCACAGCAGAATTGTACAATGGCAGGTGACTCTTAGAGATAGTTCCTCTCAGACCAGCCCAGGGCCCACCCCAGCCACCTGTGGATTCTGTAGGGAGGAGTTGGAACCGCCTCCGACTGCCTCCTCACCCTCCCACCCCTACTCCTTTAGGTGCCAGCATATGAATTGCCTGTTTATGGTAGGACATTTCATTTCAGTTGGAGGAAATTCCTGGAATGTAAAAGGTCTTCCTTTACAGTTTGTTTTGAACCTAAAACGTTTAATGTTTCTACTTTTTAAACAATACCTTTAAAATTAAGTACATTTTTCACAGACATACATATGCCTTATTGTTTTAAAGTTTTTTTATACTGCTGTATTGAATTTCAGCGCTGTACGCATTGGTCACACTGGAATGCAGGCTCAAGACATCACTGAAAACATTGTTGCTGTGGCAGAAAGTCTGTCCAAAAAGTTACCAGAGGTATGACTGATCTGCTACATGTATCCATTGATGGTTCTCAGGGTGGAAGCATGTGTCTGCAAGCCCAGCTACTCAGGAGGCTAAGGCAGGACACTCACAAGTTCAGTGCTGACCTGGACAACTTAGTGAGACCCTGACTCAGTATAAAATTTTCACAAGGGCCGTGAGTACATTGCTTGCCTAACACAGGAGACGCCACAATTTCAACCCCAGTACAACCAAGAAAAGGGCGGGGGTAGGTAGCGTTTTATTGGTTACTCTGCTGTTGATGGGCAAAATAGGTGGGAGGGTTGTGAAGGGGACTATGTAGTTAACATTTTCTTTTTTTCTTTCCAGAAGTGGGAAAGTGTGAAACTCCTGTTTGTGAAAACTGGGAAGTCAGTTTCCCTTCCCATCTTTTCCTCATTTGTCTCTTACCGGAATGATGCCAACAAAATGGTCATCCGCAAACTGAAGGAAAATGTTAGTAGAATTTTAAATACTGAATGAGCTTCATAAGCAAAGTGGTAAATTGGGTCCTTAGAAGGGAGAACTAGATTGCCACTCCTGCTGACATTTCCAGTGTTATTTATTGTTTCCCAGGGTTGTGCTTTTTGGTTCATTGTTCCAATTTTATATAGATAATGAGTTAGTGATTTGTGTGAATAAGTAAGGCACATGAAGATAAAAATATCTTGCATTTCAGTCTGTGAAAGGGGCTAACTAGAAGGAGACTGTGCAGAGGCAAAGAAGAAATAAGAGAAAAGGAAAAAACCAAAATGTTGTATTGGTTACTTTGCTATTGATGGGCAAAATAGAAGGTGGGGAGGGCTCTGAGATAGAGTGTATGCTTAGCATTTATAAGATCCTGAGTTCAAATCTCAAAGCCTGGGGTAAAAAGGTCTAAGGCCA